TTCTTTCTGAGTGTATCCTTTCGCAACAAGCCTATCTTTGAAGGTCTCAACCTTCCTATCTGATCCTCTCTTTCTCTTATAGACCCACTTGCATCTAATGGCTCGAACGCCACTGGGTGGCTCTACAAGATCCCAGACCTGATTAGTGTCCATTGACTCTAATTCAGACTTTATCACCTTTGCCAAGACTCTGCGTCCCGATCTTGGAGTGCCTCATTGTATGTCCATGGGTCGGATTCAAGAACGTCTAGGACGGCCTCAGAAGACTCTCCCAGACCCATGAACAGTTAGGGTTGCCGAACAACCCTCCCACTACGACGAGGTACTACCTGCTCAGGTGCATCATCAGCGATACGTGTTGTAGTACTTTGTGGTGTAACATCTAGCGCACTCGGTACTGAAGTACTCACTCCCTTTAATTCCTCAAGAACATGTCTACTACTGGGCTTATGATCTAAGACATAGTCTTCTTCCAAGAACCTAGCATTCGTGCTAACGATTACTTTCTGGTCCTCAGGACTATAAAATAGACCACCTTTCGTTTCCTTAGGATCTCCCACAAACAGCCTCAATTCTGATCTCGGTTCCAACTTATTAGTATCGGTTCTCAGCACATGTGCTGGGCTACCCCAAATCCTGAGAAGTCTTAGACTAGGCTTATGCCCAGACCACAACTTCAATGGTGTAGACGGTACTGATTTAGAAGGTACTCTATTCAGAATGTATACCGCTGTTTCAAGGGCATATCCCCAAAACGAATCTGGTAATGTACTATAACTCATCATTGCCCTAACCATTTCCATAAGAGTCCTGTTCCTCCGTTCTGCTACGCCATTCTGCTGAGGCGTGCCAGGCGCAGTCAGCTGGGACGTAATCCCATTATCCGTCAAGTAGCTCCTAAATTCATTCGAGAGATATTCGCCACCACGATCCGATAGTAATGACTTGATGCTTTTTCCTAACTGCTTCTCCACAACTGCCTTATAATCCAAGAACTTCTCAAAGCATTCAGACTTGCGGTGCAGAAGAAAATGTATCCATATCTCGAGTAATCATCGATAAACGTAACAAAGTACTCGAAACCACATCTCGCTTGAATACTCATAGGACCACATAGATCGGAATGAACTAACCCCAACACATCTTCGGCTCTATTCCCCTTTGAACTAAAAGCCCTCTTAGTCATTTTACCTTCCAGGCAAGACTCACAAGTTGAAAAAGCCTCGACTTCTAACGACCCCATGGGCCCGTCTGCTACCAATCTTTGAATCCTCCTAAGGTTAATATGACCAAGTCTTAGA